AAAAAAAAAAAAAAAAAAGGTCTCTCTGTGGGGGGTATCATTCAGGATGGGGCTGTCCCCATTCAGGGAGGACCTGCCCTGATCCTATGAGAAGGAAGCCCAATTTCCCACCAGGTTGGCAGGGCTAGGAAAAGGAACGTGTTATAGTAGCCCCAAGACCAGAAAGAGGCAGCAGAGAGAGCAGGACAGCACTTCCATGGAACTCATGCTGCTGCCCCAGTGAGGCGGGGAAAGAGTGCACCCCAGTGACATGAGGGGGCAGACAGGTGAGGTTCCAGGCTGGCTTTCCTCCTCACTTCCTGCCATGTTCCTCTGATCCCCTCCAGGTGAGCCTGCCCACTCTGGGCCCAGGGTTGCCGCTGGAGCCAGTACCCAAACGCAGCCCCCCATGGCCATGGCCCCAGGAGCAGCAGAGCAGGGAAGATCTGGACAGAGGAGAGGCAGGGCAGGAGAGAGTGGGCCTCTAACTCCAGGTGGGGGGCCCTGCTCATGGTTCCTGCTTTCTGGCCTCTTCTCCTTTACTCCTGGGCGGATCACCTGCGGAAGAACTGAGGCATGGTTTCTCACCCTCAGGTCTGAGGGGTTCAATTACCGAGCCCTTAGGGATGTGTGAGCCCCCTGAAATGATGCAAGGTTTTGTGTGGAGAGTGTGCACATGCGTTTCTGGGAAAACGGTCCACAGCTCTCATTTTTGGCAGGCTCCATATTCAAAAAAGGTTAGAACTCTTCCTACAGAGCTGTGGAAGCAGCTAGGTGAGGGGCCTGCCAAGGGTGCTCTGGGGACTACCTGGGCACTCCTGAGCCCACTGTCCCCTAGGTAGGCTGTGCTGCTTGGTATTTGCAGAGGTAATGGGGTGGAGCATGCAGGGACTGTGAAATTGCCCTGAGATGACCCAAGGCCTCAGCTGGGAAGTAAGGGGTACATCTCCTGCAGCATCCTCCATCCCTAGAGCCATGGGGCCAGGAGAACTGGCCCTTGTAGTAAGTGAAAAGCCTATGATTGACTCCCTCCCTGGCCATGCAGACAGTGAACCCAGGGCACTCATATCAAGTAAATGCCTTGGTCTCTGTGACCGAGGTGACCAGTAGGCGTTCCCAAGTGCAGGGAATCTCCTGACACCAAGATATGCACCTGGTCACCTGAGGAAAGAGAAAGAACTATCCAACAGGATGGGGCTGAGCTGGGTGTGGAGTGGTCCTTGTGGGTCTTGGTGAGTGGGAGGGGGAGCAGCATGACCCAGGCTTCGCGGCAAAAGGACAACCAGGAGACAGTCTGGAAAAAGTGCTGGACCCACAAGGGTTCAAGGCTGGCCAGAGAGGGAGGTGGGGTAGACTGGGAAGTTCCGAGGTCTGAAGAGGGGCACTGGAAGGCAGAAACCAGTTAAGGTGGGCAGTTACCCGCAGCCTGGGGGCCAGGTGCATCCTTAGCCCAGAGCAGACACCAAGATTTCTGGCACTGGGTGTGACCTCAGTTTGGGGAGAAGCCCCAAGCCCCACCAGGACCATCTGCCCTTCAGACTACTTCAGATGCTGAGCCCAAGCCAGGGGCAGGAAGCTAGGCTGATGCCTAGGGCAATCCTGACAAAGTCCCTGGTTCTCCCCAGCTATGGGGCTGAAGGGGAATTATAGCCCAAACCCCTAGACTGTGGCTCTCCAACTAACACTGAGCCCTCAGTGCCCACAGGGAGATACAATCAGCATGCTTTCCAGATGGGGAAATGGGCTCAGAGAAGTGCAAGAACCTTAACCCATTCCCCAGACCAGGGTCCAGGCCCAGACTATTATTTTGTCACTGTGTCCACAGGGCAGCAGGTGCTCTGATGTACCCACCTGAGCCTGGTGACTTTTTCCAACTTTGGAAGCCCAGGAGCATGACCCATGTCCACAGATGTACCTGGCATGAGGCACGCCCAGAGGCAGATGAGTTTTGCCTCCTCTACTGGATTGTGAGGGCCTCGAAGGGGCCAAGGATCTGCATGAGAAAGCCCTTGAGACATCGCACAAAGCTGGCAGAGGACAGTGAGCAACCTGGGACAGTTTCCCTTTGGATGGATCCACAGTGCCTGGATGGGACCTGGCTCAGACAGAGCTCAGTTCTGCAGGTCACTGAGGCATGGAGAGGTCACAGCTACCAAGTGTAGGAGTCTGGATTCAAGGCCAATTGCGTAACTCCAAAGTCCCTGCCCTAGTCCCTGGACCACTCACCTCTCGGAATCACCCTTGCAAGCTCATCAGATGCCCAGGCCAGCCACACAGACAAACCAGGGCCAAAGAAATGTGGGAAGCCTTGGAACACCCCCAGGTATTCCAACTTAATCCTGGCACCCTTGCGCCTCACCACCTTTCTTCCTGCTTCAACCTCACCCCCTACACAGAGCCTGGTCCACTTACCTTGGCATCAATCAGATGCCTTGATAATTCAGAGTCTGATCATCTTGGGGAAAAAAAAAAGACTTTACAGATATATAGTTGCAAGTCAGAATGCTAAAGAACATAAACATATAACAACCTAATGTACATATAAATTCAATATATATCCAATCATTGTGACATATTAAATACTATTTTCAAAATGTATACAAGCTTAATGTTCTATTTATTCAAAATCCAAACCATCAACTTAATTTGCCACTAGTCCCTTCACAAAACACATGATCCACTGGGAGTTAACAGATTAGCAACTGTCAGGCAGTGGCACATAGCAATAAGGAAAACCAGAAGGTGAAATAGTTCTGAAATAAGGAAGGTTTTAACGCTAAGAGAAATCATGGAATTACTAATTCAGTAGCACTAATTTTGGCCCAAATAATTAATATGAAATGATGCAATGTCCTATGCTTTCGTAAATTCAAACTATATTTAAAACAATGTTTGTAACGCGACTTTCAAAATGCTCCTGGCTCTACAAAGATGAGATTATAATGTAGTTAATACAGGCTAAAGCATTTCCCCCTGCAGAGCATGTTGTGACTTTCATCAGTCACACTGAGAGTCCAGAAGATGAAGGTAAAGGTTGTAGATTTCGCTAGTAACTTACCAAAGTTGAACTCCTCACTTTCTGTTGCCCAGCATTAGCAGGCTCTGGAACTGGTGGCTGTGGTAGCTTGTTGGTCTTTGGTCTCTTAGAAGTTGGAGAACCATCATCATCTTGAAAAAAAGAATGGCCACTACTGAAGGAACCATCTTAGAGTTACAGCTAGCTCTGGGTCAATTCCCAACATTCATAAATTAGGCCAGGCACAGTGGCTCACGCCTGTAATCCCAAAATTTTGGGAGGCTGAGGCAGGCAGATCACCTGATCACGAGTTTGAGATCAGCCTGACCAGCACAGAGAAACCCCGTCTCTACTAAAAATACAAAATTAGCGGGTCATGGTGGTGCATGCCCATAATCCCAGCTACTTGGGAGGCTGACGCAAGACAATCCCTTGAACCCAAGAGGTGGAGATTGCAGTGAGCTGAGATCACACCATTACACTCCAGCCTGGAACAAGAGCAAAACTCCAGGTGAAAAAAAATTAGCCAGGCGTGGTGGTGCCTGTAATCCCAGCTACTCAGGAGGCCGAGGCAGGAGGATCGCTTGATACAGGATGCAGAAGTTGCAGTGAGCCAAGATCACATGACTGCACTCCAGCCTGGGTAACAGAGCAAAATCCAGTCTAAAAAAAGAAAGCAAGAAGTAGGGCAACATTATTTATGAAACAGATACTGCTGACTCAGTCACCAGAAAGCCTGTGTCTAAATGACCAGTGAGATATTCAAGCACAGCAAACACACACACAACTCAAGACAGCTGTTGAGTGAGTTCCATGCTCATTTCCTTGTGGATATGCCAGCAACTCATTCTACAATCCTCTAATAAACCTCATGTTGGAATTAGAGACATCTGGGTCAGACATGTGACTCACACCTGTAATCCCAACAGTTTGGGAAGCCGAGGCAGGCAGAATCACCTGAGGTCAGGAATTCAAGACCAGCCTGGCCAACATGGTGAAACCCCATCTCTACCAAAAATACAAAAATTAGCCAGGCATGGTTGCAAACGCCTGTGCTCCCAGCTACTCGGGAGCCTGAGGCAGGAGAATTGCTTGAACCTAGAAGGTGGAGGTTGCAGTGAGCTGAGACCATGCCACTGCCTTCCAGCCTGGAAGACAGAGGAAGACTCTGTCTCCCCTACCCCCCCAAAAAAACAATTAGAGACATCTGGATCAAATCAGCTGCCACTGTCATTTTCCAGTTCCCCAAAGTGTCAGGTAACATCCTATTAAGATTGCTGCTCACACACCATCTATAAAACACTGAAAATATCATTTTAAGAAATTTTACTTTTTTTTGAGATGGAGTATGGCTCTTTTTGCCCAGGCTAAAGTGCAATGGTGCGATCTCAGCTCACTGCAACCTCCACCTCCGGGTTCAAGCAATTCTCCTGCCTCAGCCTACTGAGTAGCTAGGATTAAAGGCATGCATCACTACACCCAGCTAATTTTGTATTTTTAGTAGAACGGGGTTTCTCCATGTTGGTCAGGCTGGTCTCAAACTACCCACCTCTGGTGATCTGCCCATCTCAGCCTCACAAAGTGCTGGGATTACAGGCGTGAACTATCACACCTGGCCAAGAAATCTTTATTTAAAAACACACTGGGGCCAGGCGTGGTGGCTCGCACCTGTAATCCAAGCACTTTGGAGGCCAAGGTGGGCAGATCACCTGAGGTCGGGAGCTCAAGACCAGCATGACCAACATGGTGAAACCCAGTCTTAAAAAAAACACCACCACCACCACCACTGGGCTCAGTGGCACACACCTATAATCCCAGCACTTAGGGAGGCTGAGGTGGGTGGATCACTTGATGTCAAGAGTTTGAGACCAGCCGGGGCAACATGATGAAACCCCATCTCTACTAAAAATACAAAAAAAGAAAAAAAATTTAGCCATGTGTTGTGGTGGGCACCTGTAATCCCAGCTTCTCAAGAGGCTGAGGCAGGAGAATTGCTTGAACCTGGGAGGAGGAGATTGCAGTGGGCAGAGATCATGCCACTATACTCCAGCCTGAGCAACTACAGTGAGACTCCAACTAAAAAAAAAAAAAAAGACTCCATGTTAAAAAAATCATGTGGTATGGCAAAGAAAATTACTGTGTTAAAGACAGTTTCATAGACAATGAAAAACCACCCAAATACAATAAGCTGTCTTTTTATATGGGTATAATTGTTATTCTTATTTTACAGCTAAAGAAACGGACTCAGAGAATGTTATTTGATTGAACCATGTTGCATCTCTGGACAGTGCAGCTGAGACAGACTTTGTGCATAACTCCACTTGTCTACCAGGGCACCTCTCATAAAGGTAAGGCATGTATATTTGGCCCAATATACAAAGGTGCTGGGGGAGCACTGGGTCAACTCTACAACAGTACTTCCAAGTTCATCAATGGAAATCTTAAGGGAAGGTGAAAATGCTTCTAGAAGGCAACTGGACACCAGCACCCTTGCTTGTTGCCTTTGGGTTCTTCCTCTAAGGCCAACAGTGACCTGAAATTCTTGACTGACAGTTCCAATCAACTGGAGAAAATGGTACCAAGGTCGCTAACATCAGACAGATTCACTTGAGGACCCACCTATGTGCTTTGAAAGAAAAGACAAAACTGCTTTTGTAAAGGATACTGTATTTCAGAAAAACATAATCATATTCACAACTAATAACACTGTAAAATGCTGATGTGTTGAATGCTACTTTAGAAAAAATGTTCAAATCTAGGAAAACAATTTCTGATAGAAAACTATCAATTATCTAGCTAGCTAGCTCTCTAGAGACATGGTCTCATTCTGTTGCTCAGGATGGAGAGCAGTGGGATGATCATAGCTCACTGCAGCCTTGAGCTCCTGGCCTCAAGTGATCTTCCTGCCTCAGCCTCCTAAGTAGCTGGAGTCACATGGTTACATCTGTTTTATGTTTTGTTTTGTTTTGTTTTTTGTTTTTTTGGAGAGACAGGGTTTCACTACATTTCCCAGGCTAGTCTCAAACTCTGGAGTCTGTCACCCAGGCTGCAGTGCAGTGATGCAATCTCAGCTCACATCTGCCTCCTGGGTTCAAGCAATTCTCCTGTCTCAGCCTCCTGAGTCGCTGGGATTATAGGCATGCCCACCACACCCAGTTAATTTTTATATTTTTTGTAGAGACCTGGTTTCACCATGTTGGCCAGGTTGGTCTCGAACTCCTGACCTCAGGTGATCTGGCCATCCCAGCCTCCCAAAGTGTTGGGATTACAGGCGTTAGCCACTAGGCTGGCCAAGAACTTTCTTCTGTTATTAAATAGCCTAACCCAGGTGGGGGTGGTGGCTCATGCCTGTAATCCCAACAACTCTTAATGCCAAGGTGACAAGATTGCTTGAACCCAGGAGTTTGAGACCCGCCTGGGCAATATAGCGAGACCCCCAATCACTACAAAAAATGCTAAAATTAGGCCAGGCATGCACCGCACCCAGCTATTTTTGGATCTTTTGTAGAGATGGGATTTCATCATGTTGCCCAGGCCAGTCTCCAACTCCTGAGTCAAAGCCGTCCTCCCGCCTTGGCCTCCTAAAGTGCTGGGAATATAGGGCCCAGTCAGCCTCATGTTTTCTTTAAGCGGTCCCTCCCTGTTGCACACTTGGATAATTTTCTTTTTTATCTTTTTAGGCAGGGTTTACCTGTCTCGCAGGCTGGAGTGCTGTGGTGGGATCATCGCTCATTGTGGCCTTGAACCTTGGGGTTCAAGTAACTGGGAGGCTGAGGTGGGACTACAGACATAGGGTCGCGCCATGTTGCCCAGGATGCTCTTGAACTCCTGGCCTGAAGGGATCCTCCCGCTTTGGCGGGCCGACATAGTTTTCTATTTCTGACCAACATAAACACTCTGCTGGATCGGAGTTTGTCAACTGTCCTTCTTCAGCCAGCAACACACAGGACCTGGCGGGAAGGTCGCGGTTGCCAGGATACACTCTGAGGAGGACGCAGCCCAGCTGCAGAAGCTGTACCGCACCCCTGACGCCGCCGAAGGCCGGCCTCCGTGGTGTCGCGAAGGCGCGCCTTTGTGACGTTCAGAGGCCCGCCCCTCATGCGGAGCCAATCGGAACTGGAGGCGGGCCTGCTGGGGTCTCCCGGGAGCGCGCATGCGCGGGCGGGTGGCCGCTGGCGGCCGGGCGGTATGGACTCCGATGCCGAGCAGGCCTTTCCGTGTCCGCAGGCTCCTGCCCGGCCGCCGTCACCCATAAGCCACAAGGAGGAGCTTTACGACTGCCTGGACTACTACTACTTGCGTGACTTCCAGGCCTGCGGGGCCGGGCGCAGCAAGGGCCGGACACGGCGCGAGCAGGCGCTGCGCACCAACCGGCCGGCGCCCGCTGGCCACGAGCGTAAGGTCCTGCAGAAGCTCCTCAATGGCCAGCGCAAGCGCCGCCAGCGCCAGCTGCAGCCACGGCCGCGCACTCGCCTTGCCTGAGCCTAAGCCTGCACCTGGGTACGGGCCCCCGCCACCTCCCTCAGCCCGGGCCCGGGGACCCCGGGAGCGACCCCCGCCGCCCTGTGCAACTCGTCCTGGGCAGGATCGGCCCCCTCTGAGGCTTCCCGGCGTTAGGGAGTTGTACCCCCCAGATTGGCCACTGACGGCCGTTACAATAGCATTAAAGCTTTTGCAGTTTTGTACGAAGGGGCTAGGAAACGAAGAAAATATTTTTTCTTTTTTGTAGAGTCTCGCTCTGTCAACCAGGCGAGTGTGGTGGCCTGATCTCGTCCCACTGCGACCTTCGCCTTCCGGGTTTAAGCGATTCTCCTGCCTCAGCCTCCTAAGTAGCTGGGTTTACAGGAGCACACCACCACGCCAGGCTAATTTTTTTTTTTTAAAGTAAAGACAGGGTTTCACCATGTTGGTCAGGCTGGTCTCGAACTCCTGACCTCGTGATCCGTCCGCCTCCGTCTCCCAAAGCGCTGGGATTACAGGCGTCAGCCACCGCACCCAGCGAAAACATCTTTTTAAAGATGTAAGCGATCCAGCCCGGGAGGTTGAGGTTATGGTGAGCCGAGATGGCCAGTATACTCCCAGCTGCGTGACAGAGCAAGACCCTGCCTCTAAAAAAAAAATGTGCAAGTGAGAGCTTTTCTTCCAGTGCTCATGCTCAGACTGAAGAAAGTAATTGGGCCCGGCGCAGTGGCTCCCAGCACTTTGGGGGACCGAGGCGGGCGGATCGCTTGAGCTCAAGAGTTCCAGACTCGCTTGGGCAATATGGTGAAACCCCATCTCTACAAAAATACAAGTACAAAAAATTAGCTGAGTGTGGTGGCGTGTGCTTGTAGTCCCCCCTACTTGCGGGGCTGAGGCGGGAGGATTGCTTGAGCCCAGGAGGTCAAGGCTGCAGTGAGCCCTGATAGCCCCACTGCACTCCAGCCTGGGCGACAGAGTGAGACCCTGTATCAAAAAAAAGAAAGAATAACTGATCTGTGTTTTTGTCTGATTTCCTACAGGATGCCCGAAGGACGTGTTTAAAGTATTTGCTGTAACTCCAACTGTAACCTGGTTCTAAGGAGGAGAGAATCCATGTTTGGTCAACAGAACTTT